AGCATGAACAACAACAGCAATAACTTGTTCTAAGACAAATTTCATGTTGTTTAAATATTTCGGGGAACCGGAGCTAAAAATGAGCTCCATTATCACGGTAACCGTTTTTTGGACAATAACACAATCCCTCCTTGTGCGGAAATGTCCTAAAGATGTTAACTTTGTTTCAATCTTACCTCAGCCATTTCCGTTACAAATACGACTTCATCACACACAAATACATTGTTCTTTCTAAATCTAAGATATAAGAACATGTCTAAAACATGTCTAAAACATGCCTAGAACATGACTAAGACATGCCTAAAACATGCCCAAACATGCCTAAAACATGCCTAAAATATCTTTTTCTCTCCGACCACCCGGCTGTCGGCTGTTGGCAGAAATTTGCCCCAATGTCATGTTATCCAAATAAAAGTCCCCGAGCGTTCTGGGCATGTTGCCCAAACCTGTCGAGTGCCCCATTCACAACCGACGGGGACATTCAGTGCCCACTGTTCCGTGTGCCACGCTTATGGCACACACCACCTTTGCTTGATTGCTCCTCGTCTCATACTCTTGTTCCCATCCTTCAAGTCTTTGTGATTAAAATAACGAACAGCCGGCAATGTAAAAGACTAAACCTGCTGTATACAGCATTAACATTTGACCTGTATCTTATAAAAACGTTGTCATTGTTGCTTACAAAAGAGAAGCAGAGGTGGAGTAATTTTCCAATAACATAATTACCGGCGTTAGTTTGTCTGGAATTAACGCTAAGGGAGACAACTTCGTTGCATTTTTTTGCATTGCGTCCCTTTAAAAATATCTACTTGAAGGCGTTTAGACAATTTTTTTGCAGATCTCTTTTTTTTTGTTCCGTGTAAATAGTATTGTTTCTTTTATATAGTTGTCATTTGAGGAAACTTGCCGGCTTTGGGGTGGAGAAATGGTCAGACCCAGATTGTTTACGGCTAAATACTCAATTAGGGATATCAAGGAGTCTCACACTCTCGTCTGATGACCCTGGGCGTGATGGGGGGTCTCCTTAAATAACCCTTGAGAAAATGGATGTTCCGTGTCTCGTGGCTAATTAGATTTAAGGGTCTTTCTCTTTCATGGTGTCCTATTCCTGGTGTGGCGATGACCTGGGGCCCTGTGGCGAGATGTCTTAGAGACCGGACTTTAAACACACGTTTTTAGCTGATATTTCTGTCTTATACTGTCTTCTGTTACTTCCCCTTTTCCCCGTCTCACTCTCTTTCACACTTTCTCTGTGTTGTCTTCTCTATTTCTTTTTTTTTTTCGTTCGCTCACTATATCTTTCATATAAACTCTTCTCTCGCTCTCGCCCTCTTGCATACTTTCTCTCATTCCCTCTCTCGTTCATGGTCACAGTCATTCTTACTCACACCTTCACACTCTCTTCTTCTCTATTATACTCTTTTATACACTCTCCCTTTTATGGTCCCCCAGTCTCGGGTTCTCTCACTCTCGGATTCTCTCACGCTCTTTCTCTCATTCTTTCTCTTTCTCTCTCGTACCATCTTTTGCCTTATACTAGCTCTCCATCGATGTGGCTCATCTGTTGTCTTTGCTGTATACAGTTAGACAGGACATCTCAAAATTGAGTTCGACCTACTTATATCTCACTGCCAGTATGTTTATAGCTAACCCACTCCAAGCCCCCGACCACTAATGACAAGAGCACTCACATTTTTCTTTGTATCTCATTGTACCTAACTCATTGTTCATAACTCATTATCTCTTAACACTTTTTCCGTATACATTTTTCTCATTTATTTTGTCCCCCATCTTGTCCCTGTCAATGATTTTCCCCTTTCTGTGTCACCTTTACACTTACCCCCCCCCCCCCCCCACCCTTTTGACTTGTGACATCATACGAGTCAGTTTGTTTAATTGTTTGAACACAGGGGTGGACTGGGAGTTCAAGCGGCCCGGGAAAAAAATCAAAAAGCGGCCCTATCTTCATGACTTTTATTTGTATTATATCACCGGTCCTAGCGGCCCATCGGGGATCTTCCCGGCGGCCCAGTTGTTGCGTATGATGCGTCATTTGTCCTTTGTTTTTCTGCAAACGTTGGTGCACTACATTTGCGGTGTGCAATGTAAAAGTGGATGGGTCATTAAAATAGTCATGTAGAATAACATAATAGAAAATGCAGATCAAAGATTTCGACGAAACTCTTTGTTTTTAGATGTTGGTTTTTTTTCAGATTTAAATTATTTTCAAACTTTTAAAGAATTTTTTTGAAAAAAAACACACACAAAAAAACACCAACAATCTTAAACTCTATGCTTACTGCTCATACTGCAACTGTCAATCCTACCGCTGAGGCTAGTTTATGAAATTGCTTTATGCATTGCAAAATGAAAAAAGTGTCTCATTTATCTTCTAACTTTCTTTCTTATCATCCACTAAAACATCTTCTTTAATTCCCGTAATGTTCAACATCCCGCTTGAGCAGCGTGCTTGCGCCCTCATTTGATGACCGCCCCCACCCCCACCCCACTCCAAGGGTCGTAGGCACCAAACGCACACAAAAACAAGTTGAGTCCATAAAATTAGGCAGAGGTGGCGTAGCCGGGGGTTCTTCTTTAATTCCCGTAATGTTCAACATCCCGCTTGAGCAGCGTGCTTGCGCCCTCATTTGATGACCGCCCCCCCCCCCCACCCCACTCCAAGGGTCGTAGGCACCAAACGCACACAAAAACAAGTTGAGTCCATAAAATTAGGCAGAGGTGGCGTAGCCGGGGGGGGGGACGACGGACCGCACTAGGTGACACCAACCCTAGCTACGCCACTGCTAGGCACTGGTGGCTATATGGAGTGCAATCTGGAAGTATCATGATAAGACCATACACCTCTTCCCACATGAAACACACAGGCAAAGTGGTTGTCCTGCCACTGTTAGTAAGAGAATATACACCAACTTATAATTACTTATCTTAACTTTGGTCAGAGACGCAGGAAAGGGCGTGGAAAAGGGGGGGGGGCGGCGGAGAACTTTGTTCCATTATATTCAGGGGCGACATTTTCGGCCAACTTCAGAGCTGTCTTATTTCGTGGAAGGGGATCGACAAACAGCTTGTAGCGCCACGGGTGGTTCTAGCCCTAGCCACACAGCTCCTTGTGCGGTGTAAAGATCAGGAATATAATGGGTAAAATACAGTGACGGTATGATGAGGTCAGTGGTGTCAGTTAAGTTGTGCCACCGGGGGGGGGCGGACCAGCCCCTCCACTGTACCCTCCCTAAGCAAGTGTCTGACGTATCAGTGCCAATGAACTTAATCAGCACATGGAAGGTGGCTTGTGTTCACCATGGCGTAGGGTCAAAGGTCATTCTATTATTGGAATTTAATCTTGCCATGTCACTCACTAGCCCCTCCTTATGCTTGATGTCAAACAGGGATGACCTTTGACCTTTACTACATTTCCCAATTATAAATAACCCCCGACATACCCCGGGCATAAAAAACGTTTCCAAACCCCACTGTCCCACTCTCTACCACAGTGTTTCCCAACTTGGGGCCCACGCCCCACAGGGGGGTCACATTTGATTTTTTAGGAGGGCAATTCGAAAAGGAGGTGTCTAGAATTTGAAAATCAACCGTTTAACTATGATTTGACTTGAATGTTTAAAGGAGAATAGTTGGAGTCTCAATTTAAAATAAGCGTTCGTTCAAAGTGTTGTAAAAATCCACTGATTAAAACAAATGGCCGTAGTCTTAGTTGGGAGAAAATATCATTAGAACGGATGCCCAGTATCTATAGCCTAGTAAAACGTATGTCTTGACTTAGATTGAAACTTCCATTTAGAACTTTTTATAGCCCCTTTCCACATTAGTATAGCGGATATTTTTCTTTTCACTTCTAACAGTTTTTTTTTAGCCACCACAACTGTCTGCTGGTAGAATGGCCTTGAAATCGACGCCAATTTATAACTGATACCCTCCCCTGTCCTGCCTGGCGACAACAGTTTGTTTACATTCAAATACATTCCATTTGTTCTCCAGAATGTCAATAGCTGACTCAATATCTGGGTGGTTCTGTACTAGAACGTTCGTATTAATTCCAATATCAAGCCGCCAGATTCCCTAGTAGTTTGACTGTTGTTCCTTTATTTTCCAATGGCTGTAAATTGATGCACTTGTTGGTTTTGTACTCAGATTTATACTTGCGTAGAAATGTAAAGTATTTACATTATAAAATTACATTTGAGTACCATTAGTTTTTGTACAAGTTTTCTTTCCCTTCTGATGGATCAGTCTTTTGTTACGTATTGTCTTGAACACGAACCATCAATTAACACAAACTTAATCTTTATAAACCATAAGGGGACGTTGCAAGTGCGTTTTATCTAGTTTTTTTTTTTTTTTTTTTTTTTTTTTTGGGGGGGGGGGGGGGTTGTTAAAATAAGCTTGTACAAATATTTAGTGGCAAGTATTTAAAAAAAAAACTATTGCTATTTCTTGTTAAATAGTTTTTGCGCCTATTATTTTTATTTCCTTGGTAATTTTCTCAGAGCCTCCCAGGAAAATGTGTAGGGCAAACAAGCAAAATTAATTGGTCAGTATTGGGAGGAATATTTCAAATTGGGATTCATACCCACCGCATATGATGAAATGTCTCTTTTTTTGTCTTTTATGGCAACAATGCTAGACCAAAGAATCAATAAAATGAGATCGTCTTGAGGCGCATTTAAAGGCCAGACATAGGGCGCATATTAATTCAGAATTAAATTACTTTCAAACTTTAAAGACATTTTTTTGAAGAAAAAACAACAATCTTAAATCTATGTTTACTGCTCACTCTGCAACTCTCAGACGTACTGTTCTGGACAGTTATGAGATTTCTTTACAGAGTGCTAAAAATCTTGGAAAATCTTACCATAGGAGAGAATTTCACCAAACCATCAAAATCAGCATTTCTTAAAACAGGTCTGTAAAAAGATGACATGACGTGAAAGCTATGCATAATCAGTAACCATTCTGTTAGTTAAAGATTATGTGAAATGAGTGAAGATATTGACATACAATTTGTTGAAAACTTGAAAAAAAAAAAACCCAAACATTTTTCAGTGCAAATGGATGAATCAACTTTGAGAGACAGTGAAGCTGCATTGATAACTTACTTAAGATAATATATTATTGATCAAGGGCATTTTGCTGAAGAACTGTTGTTCTGTCAATCATTAGAAAGCACTACTACCGTCAAATGTATATATATATATATATATATATATATATATATATATATAT